AATCTGTTATATTATTTTCTTGCTTTATTAAATTATTTAAATAGATTTATAGCTTTTATTTTTCTTTTATTAAGTTATTATTTGCTTTATATAATAAAAAAAAGAATTTATATTTTTATTATGATTATATGACTTTTATCTATCTCATGATATATAACTTTTAAGATTTATAACTAATTTATATGACTGATAATTTTTACAATTTTGATTAAAATTATAATATATAATTTTTAAGTCACTTTTTCAAAAATTTTATTCATCAATCTATAATTTAATTAGTTAATAATTTTCACATAATATATAATCTTATATAATATTTAATAATATTATTATAATCATATTTTATTATTATCATTTCTTTTATTTTTGATCTTTATTCTACTAATAACTCTTTTTTTCTTTGATAAAATAGATGGTAAAATAATTCTATTATATTTACAGAGAAGAATATCAAAAATTTATTATTATTTTTAGTATCTCTTAAAAAGATAATTTTATAATAAGTTAATAATTTTATATATAATATTTGGTCAGGATAAAATATAATAAAGATATTATTAATTATAAATAAAAAAGATTAATATAATTAAAAATATAATATAATAGATATTAAATCATGATTATAGTAAAATTAAAGATAGATAATAAGAATATATTCATAATATGATCAACTAAAATAAGATCTGAAATCATAATATAAGAAATATATAATAATAAATAAGATATTATTAATAAAAATTATTAATTCATAATATTATTATTATTTTATTTTATTATTATTTAATTTATTAGTTTATTAATTATTAATTTATTTTTTATTAATTTATTTTATTATTCATTTTTTTATTAATTTATTTTTTTTTTTATTTCTTTTTAAAATATATTACTTTTATATATTTTGAAGATTTTATAAATAATACTTTTATTATAATCTGAATATTACTTTTACTAATATTATAATATCAATTTTATCATGATAGTATTACTAGTTTTGCTATAATAGTTTTATTAACTTTGCTATAAAATTTTATTATAATTATTATACTTATAAAACTATCTAAAAAATATCTATTAATAATATTATCTTAATTATTATTTAATAAAATATAACTAAATAATTATTTAATAAAAATATAAATATAAAATAACTAATATTAATAAATTATATATAAAAAATTTATATTATAATAATATCATTTACTATATTTAATATAATTATTTAAAAAATATAAAGAAATAAATACCTTGAATATATTAATATTTATCTTTCTTATTTTAAGTTATTTTCACAAATCTATTAGAATTATTCTATAATAAATTAAAAAAATTAATTGCAAAAAAATATAACTTAATTGATAAATATTATTAAGTATAATTATACTATATTTTTTATTATTATTATCATTATTAAATTACTATTTTTTGATTTATTAGATATATATTACAAGATTATTAAGCTTAATAATAAAAAATAATTGAATTTAGAAAAGATTATCTTTAATTTTCATCAAAAATAAATCTTTATAATTAATATTAATAATAAAATTATTGAGAAAATTTAAAAATTTTTATACTTAATTCAAAAACTAATCTTAGATAAGATTATTATTATAAATTTTAGAATTATAAAAGAAAAATTATCATCAAAGTTAATATTATCAAATTATTATTATATATTTTTTTAATATTATTTTCTTTTTTATTAATATATTTTTTATAAATATTTATTTAATTATAATAAATTATTAATAACTAATATTTGAAAAAAATTTTAATAATTATTTATGAAGATTAACTTTAAAGTATATAAGTATTAGAAAATATTTGAGTTTATTTAAATTAAAGATAATATTACAACTTAATTATAATTTTTTGATTAACTATTATAATTAATTATAATTTTCTAATTAATTATTACAAGTCATAATTAATTAAGATAATATTTTTAATTTAAATTTAAAAGAAAAGAGAAATAAAAATATATAAATTATAAATAGATAAACTTATGAAAAAAATATAAAATAAATACTAAAAAATAAAAAATAAAAATGATACAAATACTGTTAAAGTATTTATTATCTGTTTAAATAAATTATTAAATTTAGTTTTTAAAATAGTAATATAAATAATTTTATATTTAATTAAAAATACTTTAATAAAGTAACTAATTAGATAGTTAGATAATCTATTTTTCTTTTTTTTTTCATTAATATATATATATTTCTAATATATTTAATGATTAAATATTTTAAATAATAATAATCAAGCTCTTAATTAAATAATCTAACTTTTTTTTTCATGATTTGATTCGACCAATCATGAATTTTCACGTGATTTTATGTCACATGATACTACTCTAAGCTGTATTTTACGGTAATTTGTGAACGCGCGTTTTTTGTGTCACGGGGTGATGAATGATAGACCGCGCGATGCTTTGTGGACGCGTTTTTGTGTCAGGGATGATAAATGATAGACCGCGCGATATTTTTTTTAAGGAATGTCAAATGTGTATATATAAACTGGGATTTCTTGTCTAAAAATTTTCCATCATGACTACAGAAATTTTGGAAGGTTCTACCATGAAAGGGTTTATTGATCCATATTTTTTTACTACTCCTTTCGAGCTATGGAAACTTTGCTCTTTTATCGACGCGCATGTCGGACCAGGATTCTTAAAAAAGGACTGCTTGTACTTTTATAAGGAAGGACTACAAAATATTTGTAAATCATCAGAGTTTGACGACGGGCAAAAGACTATGGCAAAAAAGCTAATTGACACATATAAAGCGGACAAAAAGAAGTGTGCAGAGTTATTAAAACTTCACGAAAACAAAATCACAGCTCATTCGGTTAGGTCGGATATGCTTCAGAACAGGGTAAGTATCTTGCACTATTCCGACAAACATATTCATCGATATGTGTAGCTTACAAATATTCTTAAAATTATGTATAGCTTAAATTATTAGCTAACACTGCAAGGTCTGCAAATTCCACACTTTACACAACATTCACCCAAGCTGATGTATCCGTTAGTTGTTATAAAGCACCAGAAAAACAGATCACAACATATCATGATATCTTACCAATTGGACTAAATCCTTTTATCATTGAATCATCACAAGAAAGAAAACATGATCTAGAGGATGAAAGTAATTTTGAAGAGGAGTATGACGCGGTACAAACAATTGTGTGCGAAAAAAGTATTAGTTGGTTAGTTGGCGGGATTAATATCCGTGACAAACTTACGGAATACCAGGAAACAGGTCTACCAAGTACGAGGCCAGAATACTATGATGTAATACTTTTTACTGATAAAAATCAAGACATGTTTTTGGGGACACTGGAAGAAAACACCGTTATGCAGATGCGTAATGATATGAGGAGAAAGGATGAGGGAACAAAATGCGATATTGAAGAAAAGATTAAATCATTTCTGAACAACGTTATTGTTCGCGACATAAACAAAACTAAAGAAAATCTTAAACTACTGAAGAATGTTGAGTCATTTGAGGAAGATTTTGCTTTGTTTTTTATAAACCATATGTAAGACTATATTTTGCTTGATCTCCATTGAGAAATGTAATAAGACTAACAAGCCCATGGTTTATAGGATTGAACTTATGGAAGATGTTAATGTGCTTCTCGAAGATATGTCCGAAAGATCGTTCATTGTAATGGTTCTGGCGCCAATTCTGAATAAAATTTTTATGAAAAATAAGAAGAGCTGGTACCCAAAATACGGGGAAACATGTCTTAAGGCAAATGCTGAAGATCATAATTCTCAAAAAGCGGATAATGAACGACGTTCTCCCGGCAAGAAAATTGACACGATTATTGTAATAAAGGAAGATAACGAGGAGTTCTCGGTTACAGAAGTCAGCGGTCCCCCAAATAAAAATGATTGGTCGCATTTTATTGGAGATCGGCTGAAAATAGCTAAGATGTTAAAAACATTGATTAATCGATTCGCAAAGCTTCGTCCAGGTTCCGATATTAGAATGGTTAGACTATATGGAATGCAATTATATTGTAAGTTTTGGGCACATTATTATCGCTCATTATAATTGCATATTACTAACTTTTGGAGTTTACAGTATGTCAGGTTATCATATATGAATTTCAACTTAAATATTCTGAAATATACACCATGGAAGAAATGTTGAAATTTCCCCTTCCAAAAACTTGGAAAGATATGAAAAATGCCTGCGAAAGTATAATCGGATTCTTGAGATATGAGGTTTGCACAGATTGATTATAGAAGGAATAATATACAGAACACAAAAATTAACATTCTTATAAATTAGCGCCTGTTATCCGAAAGTTCGACTTCTATAGGTGATTTTCTGTGGACAGATGGAGATGGCGAAGCTTTTCAGGGTATGACAACGCGGATGATCCATTCTCCTAAATCTAAACGTACTAATAAAAAAATACGAGTTTAACTTGATATATGGCTAGTTTACATTATAAGATAGCATGTATGTATTAAATTATACCACGAAATGATGAATCAACCTCAGAATAATTATGTCTTTTTTTCATATCAGATAATTGTATAACTGTACATGATTATAACTCAAATAAAAAATTATGATAAGTGAAATAATTACTTTGCATGTGCACAGTTAGCATTTTTCCCAAAAAATTTTATTTTTGGGATTTGCACAAGCAGATAATTTGCGGTGTATTGCTATTCACCTAAGGTTTGACACACTGTTGAACCTGCAAAAGGAAATAGAGGCAAAGCAGAAGCACAAAGAAAAAAGTGTCCCAACTAATGAGTAGAATCTGATTTCAGCTTTTTTTCCGCCTCCTGTAACTGCATCTTCAGATCCTCATTTTCACATCGCAATTTCTTATTCGCACTAATCCGCCCTCTATATTCCCTTTCTATGTCTTGCATGAATTTCCCAAAAGTTCATCATCTATTATAATCGAACAGGTGTTGGGTTAATACTTTAAGCTCGTTCATAACCCGCTGATTGTTTTCTTTCTCGTGATCACAGGCGATACTATCGGTTTGAGTATCATTATCTGAGACATATCAGGCACTCTGGCCAACTTTGAGTTCGTCACTGGCGCATTAGTCTCTTCTGATATCTAATAACTTCATGTTTTAAAAATGACTCTACAATTGGGTTAATTCCACTGGCTTCTATCTCAGATAATGGATTACGCTTCCGTGATGTAAGACGTATCCATGCCTTATTTATTAGGAAAGCCGGTAATTTTGCTAGCAAGTCAGAATATGCCTGATTAAATGCCATTATATATTTATACATTGCGCAAAAAATTGGAATTTCATGAAATAAACCGCTTTATTATAGCATTACCCGAGAAATCTACTACTAGAAATATTTACGTGTTACATCTGGCAGATCAGTTAGAAATATTAACTCCGATCAGTGACAGCGTAAAAAAAAATCACGTGCACGTGAACAATTGTTCACGCCGATCACTTTGCCAAGAAAAAAGTTTTATTATCTGGCGCATATCCTACACGAAAAAAAGCAAAGAAAATGTAATTATAATAGATGTCACTTGGATAGTTTATTAATTAAAAACATGTTACAAGTCAAATATGAATTAATATTTTTATTTAGAATTTATAATTATATTATTTTCTTTTTATCTATCTAATTTAGATATAGATCTGTAAGAAAGTAAGAACATATTAACTATTAAAATATTATGCAGCATTAATAAAGTTTATGAATTTCACTACAATAGCTGGTTTTGACTTTTGCACAAGAACTTTTGACTTATATAAATAATATCTATTTATATTAGCTTTATCTTTGATAAGAATAATTAATTATAATATAAATCCAGCAACTTGTAACTTAATTACTTCAAATTTATCCTTTTCAGATCTCTGATCTTTATAAATCCAATATATCTTATTATTAGTCTCACATCATATTTTTATTATATCATCCTTTATCTTTTATTTTGTATAAAATAGATATTATTATGATATAAACTTTTAGTAGAATATTTAATTAATTTTATTATTAATCACTTCATATCACAATATGATTGGATGAATAATTATATCTTATTGGATATTAGCTTTAGAAAATATTATTTATAGATATTTTTAGAAGATTTTACAAATATGATGATCATGGCAAAATTATCATAGCAAAACTAATAATGCTATTATAACAAAACTAATATTATGATATTGTAACCAATTAGCTTATTCATGTGGTGCAATAGATATGACATAATAAATGGTGCAGCCGCAGCACATGGCACAATAATCACTGATCACTACTAAATCAGGCAAATAAGTAATTTATATTAATTAATCTTATTTATAATTAACTCTATTTTTAATTTATATTATTATCCATATTTAGTTTTATTATTTTATTAAATTAGTCATGTGTATCGTACTTAATTTATAGTTTTATTAAATTAATAATTTTCTAATTAATTATTATTAATTTTCTTTCTTTTCTTATTTTATC